GCTGTTTGTAGGGCAGCATAGAGAGAAGGGAGAAGAAGAGAATGAGGCTAGCACTTTTTTCCATGGGTAGTAGTTCTCATTCACACTCTGGGCTGGTCTACACTACCGCTTAAGTCAATGTAACTTACATTGCTCAGAGGTGTCAAAAAACCACCCCCCTGAGTGACATAAGTTACATCAACTTAAAGCGGTGTCTACCTCATGTTATGCCGGCAGGAGATGCTCTCCTGTCGACTCATCGTGTCTTCACCAGACCCGCTGCATCGACCGCAGTGGCACCGATTTTGCTTAGTAGTGAAGACAAGCCCCGAGTAGGTGTTTCCCTCACCCATCCCCTCTTTGCTGGTCATCTCATATATGTTGCAATCACCTGTAGGATCATCTCTAGGGGAAGGCCTGGTCTACACTTAAATGTTTACAAGTTAAGCATTTCATTTGGGGGGATGGGACTTTTTTTTTTTAAACCAGAATAGCTATACTGGTTAAAACTCTAGAGTGGATGCAGTTATACCAGTATAAAGGTGCCTTATACCAGTATATTTATTCCCCTACCTGTACAGGAGTATTCTATAGTGATATAAGCACTTTCATTCCAGTATGATTTTGTCTACCCGTAGTTATCTTGGTAAAAGGAGGTTGTACTGCTTTAAATACTGTAGGCTCCAGTGCAATCAATCAGGGTACGTCTACACTACCCGCTGGATCGGCAGGTAGCGATCGATCTATCGGGGATCGATTTATCGCGTGTAGTGTAGACGCGATAAATCAATCCCTCTCCTGTCGACGGCTGAACTGGACGGGGGCAGCCACGGCCATCGATCCAGCACCACGAGGACGCAAAGTAAGTGATTTTAATTCGATCTAAGATACGTCGACTTCAGCTACACTATTCTCGTAGCTGAAGTTGTGTATCTTAGATCAACACCTCCCTCCCCCACAGTTTAGACCAGGCCTCAGTGTCTTGCTATGATGCCAAGAGCAAAAGACACCCCTGAGAACTTAGCCCTTGAATATTCAGCACCTCTTAGGTGTTGTTCAACACCTGGCAAGATTATGAGGACATGTACCAGTGCAGTACACACCATCAAACCAGTTATACACAGCCGTCACCCTTTGAATTTCCAGAACCTTCTCTCTAGCTTGTGTTGCTGTAGTTCCCCTTGGAAAGACGAGAAACACTCCTCAAATATCCTCCCATTTATCACGAGCTTGTTCCCTTGTACACATCAATATTTCTGCAAGTGGGGCCATTAACCTGGCCCAGCCATTACACAAGGGGCCTTTGTGTGTTTAATTACGTGGTTTAAATCTGCAGGATCCGTGATTCAGGACAGAACAAGCTCTTGCATCAGGGCCAATCTTGAGGCCAAAGCATCTGTGGGTCCTTTTAAAGCTTTAATGTGGATTAAAAAGTTAGATTCCGGATGCTGAGTATTTTTGACATTTAAACACATTTTTATAACTAGAGCACATGACAATCCTTCAAACAACCATGTTGTTTTATTTTTACAAGGCCTCCAATTAGCCCGTGTTGTTTAGATTGGTAATACGTGCAAGGCATAAACTTTCGTAGCACATGGCATATGAAAACAAATAGCCCCCATCCGATGTGCATTTCCCGTGGCAAAAGAGCTGAAGGAAATAAGTGGCATTTTTGTTATAAACTGTCGGCAGATTTCCTCCCTGGAGGGTGCCAGGAGTATGTAATACAAAAGAACACACACGCATGGACCCAAATCCTCCGATGGGTGTTTCTTCTGGTTGAGGACTTCAAGATTTGATCCAGGGGAAGTACCTTCTGGCTTTGTGAAGCCCTGCTCCCTGATCTTGCGATGGATAGTATGGGTGCATTGAAGGTAATGGGGCACTCCAGGGGTGTAGCAGTAGATCTTTGCATTATCAATTCTAGGTGCAGAGCCCAGGTAAGCATTAGTGAAAGGTCCTGTAGTGAAGGTGCTAGCTGGGTATTGCGAAGACCAAGGGTCAATTCCCTACTCTGCACCAAACTGCCTACAGGACCATGCACAAGTCACTGAGGGCCAGGTATTTAATTGCCTGGTGGGATTTTCAACAGCACCTAATACGAGTTAGACCCTGATCTATATCTTTTGCTGTGTAAATGCCTTTAAAAATCTGGTCCTGAGCCTCTCTGGAAATGTCTACGCTGCAATTAGGCATCCGTGGCTGGCCAGTGTCGAGTTTGTGGGTTTCGAGCTATGGGGCTATAGAATTGCAGGGTAGACATTTCAGCTTGTATTGGGTTCCCGGGACCCACCCCCCACCCGGAGTCCCAGTGCCTGGGCTCCAGCCCAAGCCCAAACGTGTACACAACAATTAAACAGGCCTGTAGCCGAAGCCTGAGTCAGCTGACACAGGCCTCTGTGCCTTGGTTGCCCATCTGTAAAACCGGGATACTAGCACTCCCCTGCCTCCCAGGGGCGTTGTGAGGATAAGTACATTCAGGAGTGTGAGCTGCTGTGGGCAAGGCTGGCTCCTCCCCTTTGGCCTTGTCAGTCACATGAAGGATGGAATAAGGGCTTAAAAACAGGAAGTTCCCAGCAGTTGCTGGGTAGTTCTGGGAGAGAGCAGAGAGTGGCTCTCCAGCTCCCAAAGAAGACTTCTGAAAGCCTTCAGAGGAACTGTCCTCAGGGGCTACAAAGAGACAACGGAACCTAGTATTCTGGCCAGTAAGATAGGTTTTGTAATCCCCAAGGCAAGCCAAGGTGATCGGTGCTGCCATCCTCTACTCATTTGGGGGTTCGAGGACCTGAGAAGATCAAAGGGACTATGGCAGTGGGAGCCAAAAGCTACCTCCCCGCCCCCTGCATCAACCTAAAAAGACCATCTAACACAATCTGTGATAGGGACTCCTACTCAGGCAGGTGGGACTTTTCAGTGCCTTTCCAGTAGCAGACACCCATCACCAGCCTCAGAACGGTGACCAACACATGCATTCTGATGTTTGTGATGCACAGCCATCTTTATGCAAAACTAGCCTCAGGTGTGTCCAGAAAGAAATCCACTCTTGTGTTGAAAAATGCGCCCGTTTTTACTAATGAATGGAGATGATGAACGTTTTCAATGTTTGGTTTTCTTTTGGCCAAAAAAATCAAATGTTGACCAAAAAAATAAAAAGTAAAAGAATGTTTTCACATAATTTGGGGTGCGTGGGGGAGAGTCTGACCAGCTGTAGAGCTGGTCAAAATTTATCAATGTTTTTGGAAAATTTCATCATCATTTTGAAAAATGAAATAGTAAAAAAAAAATAGCAGGGACAAATAGTTTTGTGAATGTTTTACTGCTTTTTCAACCAGTTCTGCTAAAAAATTAGCCTGTTTCACTCAAAAAGTTCACATGCCAATGTAAAACATTTATCCACCCAGTATAGGGGGCACTCCAGGGCATGCTGGGGGGTACAGAAGGAGGATGTAGATTGCGGGTGGGAGACGGTGTGGCCAGGGAATTCTTACATCCTAAATCAGTGTTTCTCAATGACCGGTCCATGGACCGGTGCTGATCCTTGAGATCTCCCTGACACAGTTTAGGAAGGCAGCAAGCCGGTATCAAAACGGCTGAGAAACACTGCCCTAGCAAGTCTTCATCCCAATAATGACCCATGCTGGTCTCTGCAACAGGTGCACAAGTTAGTTGCTTGCTTAACTCATCCCTGGCAAACCTTGGATGGGGAGATCCATGCCCTAATGCTACCATACAGTGTGGTGAGACTTTATCCATTAATGTCTGTAAAACCTTCTGAGATCTTTGATGCCATATAAGTGCAAAGTACTGTTAGTGACCTTTATTCTTATGATACAATTTGGTATCTTTCTCAAGCACAAAGGTAAAAAATAAGGATTCCATCAGTCACCACTTCTTCCCATTCGTATTCTTTGCTTTGATTAAACACCTTCTTCAAAACTTGACAAATTAATGTTTTATTGTCCCTGGATATTTCTAATGGAGCTAAATGTGCACATGGTTAGCCATAAAAACCTGAAACCAGGGAGGGGATCATTACCAATTTGAAACTCCATCCATGTTTGCCAAATGCTTTGTGAATCTGGACCCTGTTTCAAACAAACGTGACCTAACAAAGGGTTTCACTTCAAAGCCGCATGAAGCTTGATGGCTTCAACTTGTGATGGACCAGAATCAAAACATCCCTTACAAGCTTTGGGGAGGTTTCTGTCCAGATGCAAGCTGGTCCACAAACTCTATAATGCAAAACTTTGCATACTCCCTATGGACTTGGGTTCACTACAAAGCTAACTAGTGTTATAGCTTGAGAGTTGCCCTTAACCCAAGTCTCATCCACACAGAAAAACCCCTCATTTGAATGTGGTGGTGCTACGAACTTGAGATGGCTAAAGCTTGAATGAGCTCATCCCCTCAGCTGCTAGTCACTCTACAAGGTGGACGTTGGCTAGTGCCACACGAAAACGGCTAGTCGTCCAAAGACTCTCAATTCCTCTGGGGACAGACAAGTGCTCTCACAACACACTGAAAGAATGCATAGAGATAATCAGCACACTGCAGTGCTAAGAACCATGGGATACGCCCCCAGAAGTCTTTGCGCCACACTCAAGTACAGCACCAGTGAAGATGCAACAAGTCGAGTATTATTTTGCAGTGTGACTACTTTCACTCGAACTAGGCTAACATCAGATAAATAATTCACATGCAGATCACTAGAGTTGACTCTGAGGTAAAGGCATACCCTTTAAGCCCAATTCAGTATAGGCTTTAAGTATATATTCAAATCCCATTGTTCAATGGGGCTTAAACACATGCATAAGTGCTTTGTTGAATCAGGGCCTTGGGCTAACACATTAGCATTCTTCACCCCATCCCATCCCATCTGTGTATGAATAATTTCCAGTGAGATTAATGAGCGTTATCCTAATCCTCTAGGGAAAGAATAGGATCCCTGGATACTATGGTGGTGAATATATCAGAGGCTCATAGGGACGGACGGATGGATAGACAGATAAATGACCAGACATGATTTATTTTTGTTAATATCAGATGACAAAATCAGTCACAGGGCATAGATATGGGTTATTTTTACATAGCCCATTTTCTGAGCATAACCATATTGCAAATGAAAATCAGTTCCACTTTAACGTTAAACAGTGGCAAATCAAAATGTGACTCATTGTAGAATTATTTCAAAAATGCACATACAGGATCAACATATTTATTCAGTGTCCTTAAACCAAATAAACAGTTGTATATTGTTACCTACAACATAAGTCTTTGGTCTTAAGTCTCTGGCCAAGAAAAATATTATCATAGCTAGTTTGTTATGAAAATGTTTGAATAAAAGAAATAACATCAATAACTTATGAAAAACTTCAACCTTTAATCAGCTGAGCCTTAATAGGGTTCAAGATAACACTGAGTATTTTGCCAAGAGTATAAAATAATCATAAAATATTGTAATTGATGTACGACTTTGGTTTATTACAGCTTGCAAGCTAGATAGCTGAATACATGGATAGAGAAAATGTTGGGTCTTATGTCAACATTGTTGCAATAACTAATACCAACTATTTGGATTTCAGGAATTTCACTATTTTTTATTTATGGTCTATACAAAAATGTAGAAATCCTGGGCCAGATTCTCAACAGGTGTCAAGCCGTGTAGAGCCATCGTAGTCCATGATCCATTCTGATTTACATCAATTGGGGTTTCAGCATAGTGTATTTAAAAGTGGATTTGGCAGATCTATTCCCCGCTCAGATTCAACCATCTAAATGTAAATCTAACAAAAATACAGCAGATAAACCTTGGACAATAAGTGACACCTGGTTGTTTCCTTTTTGGAAAGTAGTTCGCTGCAAATAATTCCTAATATAAGGTTGGCAGTGCTCAGTGAATACAAATCTTTATTTGGGGGTTGCAGAGTGAGCTTTTTTTCTTGCTCTCTTGACAGTTTAACAGCACGCCAACAATATTTGCTTAAAGTCTTTGGCTCCATTAATCTCAACCCTTGCTACGTAGGTTGCCAAAGCTGATGACAAATCCCAGTTAACGTGGATCATCCACTTCCCCAGGACAATATTTTTCCCATGACATTAGAATAGCAATTTTCCCCAAAGAGGGCACAAGTCTACCAATTCTCAAGAAAGGATAAGTCTATGGCTTAACATGACTGATAGAGATAGCTGGGGACTACATGGAAATAGGAAGGATGAAAAATACCCTTGCACTCTAATTGGCTTTTTTGTTTGCACACAGTTGCTTCTAATATGGACAGATCTCCATAAGAAAACACAAAATTAGCACCTGTTAGGACAACTTAACCTTCAGGGAGAAAAGCAAACATCCTTGGGTTGTCTAGATTTTGCAACAAGGTTAAAAGACAGCTGATTTTTGCCAAGATTATTTTAACCCTTTCTTGCAGTACACCACCCTGCATAAACGAGGAGAGCTGCACCGTTCGTCAACGACATGGAGAGCTGGATTTGAACGTTGCAGCTTCTTCCTAGCTTTGCAGTGGGCCAAACCAATTCGCCTGGATTCAAACTTCATGCTCAGGCCTATCTGTTAATAGATAGAAATATTTTATTTACCTTTGAGTAGCTCCAAAGGCCCCAGCCAGGAATCAAGGTCCCAATATGTTAGTTGTTGTATAGACAAATCATGCAAAGACAGTCCCTGCCCCAGAGAATGAAAGGATAAATGGCAAAAACTGATAAACAGGGGTGGATGACAAGATAACAGCAAAGACATACTTCAGAATAGAATTCATCAATATTAGATAAAATGGGCCAGATTCTTAACTGCTGTAAATTGGCGTAGCTCGATTGATTTCAATGAGCCACGCTGGATCAGCTAAAAATTTGCCCTGATGTGTGTGTGTGTGTGTGTGTATACATGTGTGTATATTAATTATAGGGGTTATGGAAGAAGAAGATTGGAAATGCTTTTTTAATTAGGTTTTAAGCACATCTTTTAGGGGTAAACAAATGTATCCAGATACAAGAAGAACTGATCCAAACATGTGCCCAGAACCAGAACCAAACCCAATCATTTCTAGATTTGGGAACATTAGCTTAACATTGCCTTTAATTGCTCTTTTTCCCCTTCTGTCATGTGTCTGGGTACTAGCTGGGATCAGAAGTGGAAATCCCTCAATGCCATGAGAGAGACTGTTCTTACAAAGTGTCCTTTCTGAGCAGGAAGGACAGAAATTCCACCAGGAAATCTTTCAGCCAGGCCTTGATCCTCCAAAGGCAGAAGCATGTGGTTAACTTTACATTCGATGAATAGTCCCACTGACATCTAAAGGACTTCTCCAAAGATGAGCATGTCTTTGCAGGACTTGGGCATAGGTCATGAGTTCCACCTTTTCTATATGGGGAGACATGTCAGAGAAGAATAACTACTTAACTACTGTGGGGGGGAGGGATAGCTCAGTGTTTTGAGCATTGGCCTACTAAACCCAGGGTTGTGAGTTCAATCCTTGAGGGGGCCACTTAGGGATCTGGGGTAAAATCAGTATTTGGTCCTGCTAGTGAAGGCAGGGGGCTAGACTCAACTCAATGACCTTTCCAGGTCCCTTCCAGCTCTAGGAGAGAGGTATATCTCCATTTACTATTATCCTGGTATAATTTAGCTATTCCAGTACAAATCCCCAGCATGAAAACACTATTACAAGAAAAAAAGTGAATTTTTATTCTGCAATAATTAATCTGTTTCCAAAGCTTCATTACTCCACTGTATCTATGGTGGTCAATTTCCCCCAAGTAGACAAGCCCTGGAACCTTCTCATGAGTTTATCCTATAAGCTGATGTTGATATTTTAATTCTTCCTTAAAATTTGAGAGAAAGAAGAACATATCAAACCTTGGTTGTCTAATTTTTTTTCTACATCAAATTGCTATTCTCTTTGTAATCACTGACAGCCTCCATTGTATCACGCAACCCTCTTCACTGGGAAGCGATGGGGGACTGAGTTATTTGAAGCAGCCAGCCGCTTTTGTGTAATTTAGACTAGTGCACCGTGGAATTTAAATAATGGCAAATATAAGCTATGAAGCCCACATCAGAGAAAAAGTGACCTTTAAAAGCTTAAGGACAAAGAATTTTTTTAAAAAAATCAGTTTCTCATGTCTGCTAATTCTTTGCTAAGTAGTTCATTTAATCATGCTCATTAAAATGCTCTTTTTTGGAACGTTTTGGGCTAGCTTGCAGCTTTGCCACAAAGCCTGAACATAGAGCAGCGAGCAGGCGTGCTGCCCAGAGGGGATCAAGGACAGAACCGGGTCTCAGCGAGCCACAGTATCAGTGGGGCACGCTCTCACCATTTTATCACAAGCCTGGTGAAAGCGGAGGGTTTCCTTTAAAGTCCTAGCTCAGGGGTCCCCAATGCGGTGCCCGCAGGCACCGTGGCATCTAAGTGTGCCCGGGTACTGGCCGGCAGACGAGCATCCGCCGAAATGCCGCCGACAAGCAGCGTCATCCAGAGGCGTCGCCGCGGATTTTCGGCGGCATTTCGGCGGCGCCGCCTATCGACATTGCCGCTTGTCGGCAGCATTTCGGCGGATGCTCGTCCGCCGCCACGGTCCTCCGTGGCTCATCGTCTGGCGCCCGCCAGACGAAAAAGGTTGGGGACCACAGCCCTAGCTCCTGGGGCCAGCTGACTGCATGAGTATCTCAACTCCCCTCCCTCCCCGCCCCCCACTTTTTTAAAGTAAGTTTCTAGCCCTTCGGGTTGCAAAGAAAAACTTGAAAATGGGACCCGAGTGCACCTTGAAGGCTTGGAAACCAGGACAAAAAATTGGGGGGTTCTTTTCATTTAAATGTCATGATCTTTGAGCCAATCT